ATTTTAATGACAGTGTCCTTTACTGCACAGTTTAATATTCTGATATGAAGCTTTATGTTGAAATAGGAGCGGCTGGGCTGCGTCCACAGCACCCCGGCCGCCTGCTAGCTCATGCCCGAAATAACAACACACAAACTGTATTCATTTAAACACTGCTTGGCCCATTTCTATCTAGCCTCTTCTAGGCTAATTCTTGCACCTGGACTAGCCCATTTCTAATAATGTGTGTAAGCACCTCAAGGTGCGCTTACTGGGAAGATTCTAACCTACGTCCATCCTGGGTCGGAGCTTCATCGCATGTGCCTCAGAGAGCAGAGCTATCACGTCTACCCAGGAGAGCTGAGCATGGCATCTGAGCTCACTTCCTCTTCCTCCCAGCATCCTGTTCTGTTTACTCCTCCCACCTATGTTTTAACCTATCAGGGCCAAGGAGTTTCTTTATTGCTTAGCCAATGAAATCAACAGATTGATATATGACACTCCCACATCAGCTTTAATCTATAAGTTATTTAGGTATTAAGTATTAAAAGTCAATAGTCATTCATGTTTGTAATACTTTTAGTCAGACTAATTAGGTTCTTTAGATACATAGAGATTGTATTCTGCATAGATAGGTAAACCCTCAGCCACTTCAAAGATCTGTAGAATCTGGCATTTATATAACTTGGGGTTCTGTTGATGCAAACACTATTGCCTCTGGCAGCACCGATCTATTCCTGAGAGAATGTTAAGCATCAAAGACACTCCACTTGGGGTTTTCTTTTTTTCTTGGTACAACTGGCCTTTGGGCAAGGAACTGCCCATGCCTTGACCACTGACAAAGTGCACGATGTCTAGACTGGACAAGCAGGATACAAGAAAAAAGACGGCCAAATCTTGCCAAGTTAGGGTAAGATGGTTCTGAAAATTTTCCTGCCTCTGAAAATGGTCTGTCAATTACGCTAGGCCTTAGCCAAAGTTGATTGCTTCAACATTGCAAATGAGACTTTGGGTGATTGCTCAGGCAGTCAATTGTTTCTGTCCATCTACTACACATTTTGGAAAGCTGCTTGATTGCACCTTCTGCCTAGTCAAGTAATATTGTATCCTTTCTCAGGCCTTCGATGGGGTTGAAGACTATCTAATCTAATTAGTTACTGTCTTCTTATGATCTAGCCAAGCCATTTCCAATACAAGACTTAGACTCCTTAGGATAGAATATTTATTAAAACATTAGCATATGGCCAGGTGATGGTGGTGCACGCCTTTAATTCCAGGAGACAGAGGCAGTCAGATCTCTGTGAGTTTGAGGTCAGCCTGGTCTACAAGAGCTAGTTCTAGGACATGCTCCAAAGCTACAGAGAAACCCTGTCTCGAAAAACCAAAAAAAAAAAAAAAAAATTCCTTGCTTAATATTGTTTATGCTGGTTGTAATTCTAACTTTATACTTGATATCTGTTCCTATTGTACATAATTTTGTATTGGCTTTGGACTCTTATTTAAACAAAAGGGGGAGGTACTATGGGAGCTCCTTCAGCCAATAGCCTTTAAGATACAAGCCTAATTGGGCACGGTCTTTTATACTATAAGTGCAGCTGTAAAGCACACACTTACTGTCTTGCTTCTGGCTCTTGCTTCAGGCTGCTAGATTCAGTTCCTGTCCCCCGTTCATGCACAGGACTGTGATCTAGGACAATGATCTCTGAGTCTCCCCTAAATAAATAACCCTTTATTATACATAATTCTGAACTAGTGTGGGATTATTTTGTAACTTCCATCATCAGATTATGAACATTTAAGTGTTACTCAGCCATTTGAGTTTGGTCTATTGAGAATTCTCTGTTTAGAACTCTATCCCATTTTTTATTATGTTTTTTGATACCTAGTTTCCTGAACTTTTTTTTTTATAATTTGGATATTAGACCTTTATTGGATGTAGAGTTGGCAAAAATCTTTTCCCATTATGTAGGGTGCCACTTTGTTTGAATAATGGTTTCCTTAGCCTTACAGAAGCTTTTTAGTTTTGTGGGTTCCGTTTTATTAATTGTTGGTCTTAGTGCCTGCATTAATGGTGTTCTGTTCAGAAAGTCTTTTCTTGTTTTACTGCATTCAAGGCCATTCCCCACTTTCTCTTCTGTTAGGTTCAGTGTATCTTGTTTTGTGTTGAGGGCTTTGATCCATTTGGAGTTGAGTTTTGTGCATGGTGATAGATATGGATCTTTTTGCATTCTTCTAACTACTGATAGCCAGTTTGACCAGTACCATTTGTTGAAGATGCTTCCTTTTTTTCCAGTGTATATTTCTGTCTTCTTTATCAAAAACCAGTGTCCATTGGTGTATGAGTTTCTGTCTAGATATTCATATTGATTCCATTGATAAATTTGTCTTTTTTGTGCCGATGTCATGCTGTTTTTATTTCTCTAGCTCTGTAGTACAAATTGAAATCGGGGATAGTGTGACTTCCCACTCTTTTATTATTCAGGATTGTTTTAGCTATCTTGGGTCATTTGTGTTTTCATCTGAAGCTGAAAATTACCTTCTTAAGATCTGTAAAGAATTGTGTTGGAAGTTTGTTGGGGATTGCATTGAATCTGTAGATTGCTTTTGGCAGAATGGCCATTTTTTACTATATTAATATTACTGATGCATGTGTATGGGAGATTTTTTTCATTTCCTGATATCTTTGATTTCTTTCTTCAGTAAAGTTTTTATGATGTAAATCTTTCACTTGCTTGATCAGAGTTATCATAAGATATTTTATATTATTTGAGGCTGTTGTGAAAGGTGTTGTTTCCCTGATTTCTTTCTCAGCCCATTTGTCATTTGAATATAGGAGGAATACTAATTTTTGTGCATTAATTTTGTATCCAGTTACTTTGCTGAAGATGTTGAGCAGCTGTAGAGTTTCCCAGTGTTTTTTTGTATCACTTATGTTTACTATTATATCGTCTGCAAGTAAAGATGCTGTGACTTCTTCCTTTCCAATTCTAGTTTCATTATTTTTAGAGGTTGGTCTTTTCATAGTGTCCCAGATTTTCTGGATGTTTTGTGTCAGGAACTTTTTAGATATAACAGTTTTTGACCAATGTATCTATTCTATTGTATCTTCTGTGCCTGAGATTTTTTTCTTCCATTTCTTGTATTCTGTTGGTAAAGCCTACTTCTGTAGTTCTTGTTCAAATTCTCAAACCTTTCATTTCCATTATTCCCTGCTTGTGTTTTCTTAATGGAGTCTGTTGGGGATGGGATCAGGGAGGAAAGGAAGACTGGAGCAGGTTTTCTGCTACAGAGTTGGGATGAGACTGGGGTACTGGATCCAGAGGAGCAGGAGTAGAGGTGTGTATCCACCCTGGACCTACTTGTTTCCTGGCAAGAGCAGACCTTGGTTGTGTTAGCAGGTGGTACCTACTGCAGTTGGGGACTGGGCCAAAGCAACAAGTAGGGGTATGGGGGGTAGAAGGGAAGATGGTATCAACAGGAGATAAGATGGGGTGCAGTGAAGGCTGCCACAGGTGCTCTGCTGCAGAACTGGGGTGAGACTTGGGGATTGGGCCTAGGGGGAACAGAGAGAGTCATTTGTCATTCTGGATCTCTGTTACCTCGCTCAATGTGATCCTTTCTAGTTCCATCCATTTACCTGCAAAGTTCATGACTTAATTTTTACAGCTAAATATTATTCTTTAGTGTACATGAAGCACATCTTCGTTATCCTTAAGTTTCATATCTGTTGTCAAAAGGGTGACAGTAAGCATTGCTGAGCACATGGCTGTAGAGTAGGATGTCAAATTCTTCGGGCATTTACCCAGGAGTGGTATAGTTGGGTCATATGGTAAATTTACTTTCTTCTCCATACTGATTTCCAGAGTGACTACACTAGTTTCATTCCCAGCAACAATGAACAAGGGATCCCTTTACCACAACCTCACCAGTGTTTATTCTCGGTTGGTTTGTGGATCTTAGATCTTGATAGCGTGAGATGAAATCACAAGGTTGTTTTAGTTGCTTTTGCCTAATTGGTAAAGATGACAAACTCTTTTTGAGGTATTTCTTGGCCAGTTTTATGTCTTCTATTGGGAACTCTGTTCAGACCCCTAACCCATTTTTCAATTTACTTTTTATTGAACATTTTTTTTCATACAATATATTCTGATCACTGTTTTTCCCTCTCTCATCTCCTCCCAGATCCTTCCAACCTCTCCATTATTTCTATTCCGTGGCTTCTTTTTATCTCTTTAGAAAACAGGAAATAACAAAACAAATCAGATTAAAACAAAACAAACAAAAAGCATGAGAAACGCATACACCAAACCCATGAAAAACACAAACCATAGTATATAAGCAAAGACCAGTAAGGTTAAAAAATTTATGCCTAAACAAGCATCATGAGACTAAAAATACCATTGAGTTCCTTTTGTGGTGCCCATCTACTTCTGGACACGAGGCCTTCCCCTAACGATGATATGTGTACCCAGTGAGACTCTGTTGAAGAAACTAATTTTCCTTTGTTGAGTGATTTTCAGTTGAAGATAGCTTCTGGGTTAGGGATAGGAGCTATGTCTATTTCTCCTGTCAGCACTGGGATTCATCTTAGATCTAGAATTGGCCCTAGAATCTTGAATGGACTGTGCTTGTAGTTCTAGCTGTCCTGGAACTTGCTCTGTAGACCAGGCTGGCCTCAAACTCATAGAGATATGCCTGCCTCTGCCTCCCAAGTGCTAGGTTTAAAGGTGTGTGCCACCATGTGGCACTGAATATTTCTACAGCAGACTTCTGCTATTAGTTTGCAGATTAAGGACTCTCCTAAATGTGTGTAAAAACCTTTAGAATGCTGAAAATAAGATATATTTTAAATTATGTCTGAAGACTAAAACCATGACTTTGTATTTTTTTAATCAATTGCAGTAAATGTAGTGCTGGAGCCCAACTGGTGACCTAGGAACTGGAAACTTGAGTACTCCATGACCCTGTGAGCCGCAGTGTTTCCACTCTCTAACTTCTAGTTTTTCTGTCTCTTTTACTAGGCCTATGCAGCGGTGTTACAGCAACAAGCTAAGGACAGCAGACAAAGTTCAACAGGAATAGCTTGTTTTGGCACCTCTCTCCCAGAAGAAAAACTCAATGACTTTCGTGATGAGCAAATTGGACAGTTGCAAGAGCTGATGCAGGAGGCTACTAAACCCAATCGGCAGTTTAGTATCACTGAGTCAACGAAACCTAAATTGTGATATATAAATCTTAACGAAGCATGTTAAATTTATAACCTTATACCTCATCTCTCATTGGCTCTTTAAGACATATCACTGCAGCTTTAGTGGAATAGTATCTTATTTTGGGACAGTGTGAATGATTCATTGATCAAGATCACAAAGGGTACACTCTGCTGTCACTGGAATATTGTATTTGCTGTGTGGAATGTAATTTTGTGGAATTTAAATTTTGGACTAAAAGGTGTAAAGAAGAACACACTTTGGAATTGTACTGAAAATTTCTCTTTTGTATAGGAATATTTTAAATTTTATTCCCATCAAGCATTAGCTCATGGCTTGTTTCTAGTTTCATCAGTTAAATAAATAAATCATGATACCGGTAGATGTGAATTTCAGTAAGTTTATCATTAGATGTTTTGTCATTCTGAACGTCCCACCATGTCTCCTTCAATAGTGCACTCCTGGCTACCACTCAGAACGTCCTCTTTGAGTCACTTAGAATGCAAGTTTTAAGAAGAGCTTTAAGATTCATTTTTTGAGAATTTCACTTATTGCCTAAAGGGTGGGGAGATGAAAACTACTATGTTGACGTATACATTTAAAAATAAAATACCTATCAAGACCTGAGTGTAAGCTGGGCAACTGATTGGATACTGGAGCAATAGAAGTTGGACCAGGGAGCTGTTTCCATTGGTAAAATGTTTTCTGGGAAAGCACAAAGACTCAAGTGCAGATTTCTGGAACCTACATGAAGTGCAGATTTTGAACCTAGGGATGAGGACGCAGAGACATGCACATCCCTGTGGCTCTCCAGCCAGCCTGTGGGTTCCGGGATCAGTGAGACCTACTTCCAAAAAGTGGAGATCAATAGAGGAAGAGCCTTCTGTAGATTGTCTACATATGACACCTTCCGTAAGGTAGGTTCTATAGATTGTCTACATGTGACACCTACTGTAAGGTAGGTTCTATAGACAAAAAGGGTCTGGGGAGCTGCAGTGTGGTCTAGGTCACCAGGCTGTTAACCCTAACCCTGTCTGACCCCAGCCTTCCAGGCTGATAACAGGTTGTGCATCCCCTCCTTTGAGGGAACAACCCAGTGTGTTCACCTTCCAGGTTCTTCTAGCTTATCTGTGAGCACAAGGACCACTGTGCCTCCTACACAGAACTAAACCTTATTTCTAAAATTCAAGTCTGTTTTTCAAATTGTATATATTTCCAATCATATTAAATATTTTTCTTCCCCTCTCGATAACTGAATGATATTAACATAAACGTAATGTATCAGCTAATCTAATTCACCTTAGATTTTTTTTTCTTTTTTTTTTCTTTTCACCTTAGATTTTACATTTCCCTAGGGGCTTGCTTATTAGGAATTCTGAACCGCCATGTGGTAGATTGCCAGGTAGCTCTAGGTCTCTTCCATCCTTTTTAACCATTTCTGTCTGTTGTAACTTTGTGGCTTCTCCTACATTCACCTGAGCTGCCCTTGAAACTTGATTTGCTCAAAAGAACAAAAGCATGTGTTAGACCCGAAGCCTGCGCACTTCCGGGTTTGAAACAGAGATGGAGAATAGTACAAGGGTAGCAGTGCAGCCCGTGTAAATTTGGATACTCTGAAAGGAAAGCAGTAATGCTGGTTAGCTTTAATGTGACTGATTTGTGGCATAACCATTTAAAACGGCCATGCAGAAATTAGCATATAAGTCTGTAGCTCGTACAAGAGAAAATGAAATAAGGAAAACAGGAAAGGGTCGAGATCAATAGAAAAATAAGAGTAAATACATGCTCTGATTTGATAATGGTTGTCTCCATTAAAACTCGTGCTGGAGGCTGATCCTCAGATCGTGCTGGGAGGAAGAAAAAACTGGCAGTGTGCCTTAGGGAGGGTTTCAAGGGTTATACAGAAGCAGCAGGATGGAGCTCCCATGACTGAATATTCATGACTTTATAAGAAGAGACAGAGGCAGAATACAAGGCATTCTTCTCCACGAGATAACTCAGCTGCTTCAGAATTCTGTTAGAAAGGCCAACCATTACCAGCTATGGCCCCTACACCTCTGACCAGGACTGTGAACTGAAGTAAATCTCTAAAGGTAACCACATTGATAACAGAGAAGGACTGCAGTGATTGAGACAACTCAAGATAGAGATCATTGTGTTTGTTAAAGTAAAGGATACGTTATCTGACTAAAGGCAGTATGTAAGTGGTAAAGAATGAAGCTGGCTTATGCTGGTGCGAGAAATTGTATTTGAAGCATAATATAAAGATTGAATATCATACAAACCAAAAGAAAGCTGAAATTATATGTACAAATACATGCACACATGCATACTCATGTGGATACTTGTGTGTGTGTGTGTGTGTGTGTGGCAAAAGTTATGGCAAGAACATTGCTAGAAGTTTACTAGGAAGATAATTCAAAGTTTCATTTACATGGTAAGAGAATGATTAAGCAGCCCCATACTTAAGAAAGCTAACAATTCCAAATAATCACATGTCAAAGAAGAAACCAGGAGTGTAACTGGAACTCTCCGACAGTGAAAATGTCCAATAAAATATAAGGACTGCAACTAAAAGAGCACTTGGAGTAAACTGATGCACTTCAGTGTGTCTAGCAGGCTCAAAGAAATGTTGTATAGGAGAAGTATGTATCTTAGCCAGGCAGGTGGCAGACATCTCTAATTCCAGTGCTTGGAAAGAGGCGGAGGCAAGATCAAGAGTTCCAGGTCTTTCTCAGCTAGAAGGCAAGTTTGAGGCCAGCCTTCGCTACATGAGAGACCCTGTCTCAAAAAACTAAAAGGAAATATCTAGCTTAGTAATTTATTAAAACACAAAACCAGAAGGTAATAAAGATTAAACCAAAAAGTTTAAAATATTAATTTTAAAAACAATCTATAATGAATCCTAGAAATGTTAACAGAAGGAAAAAGTAACTATACAGGAGCAAAGAAGGATACACCTCTTTCTGCTGATAAGATATTACAAACAACTTAAAAGTAATACATTTATAACACCCGGAAGAAATTGACAAAATTTCTAAAAATTAAGCTTACCAAAATAGATAAGCACACACACAGACAAAAACACAAAATTTCTTACAGCAATCAGAGCTATTTTGTCACGAGTTTACAGTGATTCCAGAGAGAAAAATGAACAATTAAGTAATTTTGGAAAGAATGTTGCCAAGTATCAAGAAACAATTCTACGCTGAAATTTTTTCATTGAGCAGAAAGAAAAGAGGACTCTCTGATTGACTTTGTCACACATCCAGTGAAGAATGAGGAGGGAAAACTAGCAGCCAATTTCACCTAGGAATATGGATGCAAAAATCCTAATTAAGTATTAACAAGACAAATCCAGCAAATGGCAACTCACAACCTGGTCAGGTTTGTGCCAAGAATCCAAAGCTGTTTCCACATTAGAAAATAAATTGCTATCACATTCCACATAATCAAAATAAAGGTGAATTAATTATGATCAGCCGAGAGATACAGAAAAAGCATTTGCTAAACGTAAAAAAAAAAAAAAAGCTCAAATTGGGTATGAAGGGCACTTCCGTCCAATTAGAGGATGTCTAGTGAATAGGAACCGTTGTCAGTCACCCTTGTGAGATTCAGGGAAAGGTCTGCCATTAATTCCTTTCAAGTCAAAATTGGCAATGTCTGATAACATGAGATTTAATGTAGAAAATTCAAGTTACAAATTACTAGAATGAATAAGGTTCTAATGTTTGCTAGATGCAAAAATTACTGTACAAAAGTCAACCGCATTGCTCTAAATGCAGCAAATATGGAAAAGAATTTTTGTCAACAAATAGTAAGTACTTAGAAACAAATTTACTAAAGGATATATAAATCTTTGTGGAGGAGATTGTATAAGTTTCCTTAAAGAACTGAAGACTTTGAGGTACTTTGTTTTCAAGATTAAAAGACTGAAAATTACAAGCATATTTATCTTCAAATGTTGTATACTTTCAAAACATTAATTAAAAATTGCAATTTTTCATTCTTAACTGATGTTCTCTTTAAATATTGTATAGAACTGTAAAGTACAAGGAATATCAAAGTCATTTTTAAAAAATATGATTTTTTATTGAAATTAGATTTTTTGTAAAATATATTCTAATTATGGCTTCCTCTTCCCTAATTCTTCCCAGTTTCTCTTCAACTCCCCTTCTGTCTGAATGCATACCCCCCTTAGAAAACAAACAGGCATCTTAAGGAATAATAATAAAATCAGATAAAATGAAACCAAACAAACTAGAATAGGACTAAATAAATAACAGAAGAAAAGGAGCCAAAGAGACATCATAAGAAACACATACAGATGCAGAGACACATAAGAATTCCATTCGCACACATAAGAATCCCACAAAAACAAAAACAAAACTGGAGACCATAATATGAAAGGAAGGTTAAAAAGATGCCCTGAGATGACATTATGAGACAAAGAGGCTCCAAATATGCCTTTGAGTTAGTTTTGTGTTGGCATAGGACATACCCTTGAGAGTGGTTGGAGATGACTTCCAGGTTAGCCAGGAGGCATGTAGCCAATTCTCTTTTTAGCTCTAGGCCCTTATCTGGGGCAGACGCTGTGCATGCTCTTTCAGTCTTTGATGTTGTAATCTGTGAAAGGTTTGTCGATCTTTTTGATTTTCCCAAGGAACCAACATTTTGTTTCATTGATTTTTTTTCATGTTGCTATTATCTGTTTCTTTAGCCCTGAGTTTGATTATTTCTTGCCATCTACTCCTTTGGGGTCTGACTTCTTTTCTTTTTATTCTAGAGCTTTCAGGTGTGCTGTTGTTACTAGTATGATACCTCTCCAATTTTTTTACATAGGCACATCGCACTATAATCGTGCCTCTCAGTACTACCTTCACTGTGTTCCCTAAGTCTGATTGTGTTGTGTTTTCATTGTCATTCAATTCTAAAAAGTTTTCAATTTATTTTTAATTTCTCTCCTGAGTCGTTCTGTTTCCATGAGTTTCTAAGCTGTTGATATCCAGCTTTAATCTGTGCTATTCACATAGCATGCAGGGTGGTATTTCAATTTCTTGCCAAACAACTCAGTCTGTTGCCCAGAGCATAGGTTGATTTCCACAAACTGAAGGCAAGCCCACATTGCTGAAGACACCGACACCACCCATTAAACATGGAGAAGTCAACATAGAGTCTATGTGCCCACACAGACTGGTGCCTGGATAGAGACTTCACCCCTACCAGCTTCCCTCTTTGGTACAGAAAGGTACTCTGCATGCTACCAAAAGAGAACCATAAACAGGCACACAGTCACAAAGCCTTTACTACAGCGGGGTCCTGCCTGTGAGAGATGCTAGGGCAATGGTGGCACAAACTTGTGGGAGTAACCAATCCATATTT